ATAAGAAACTGGCCTACCACGGTGGCACAACAACTCTGAAAAGTCACCTGGATGCTGTAAGTAGTAGCCTAGCTTAGCTGTTGTCAAGTTGCCATGATGAAGCTGCTTTATCCGCCTTTCAAACAGTAACGTTACACATGATAAAAACGTGCACTTACTTTGCTTGGAAAATAGTTGCAAGCAATCAACCAAATAGTTTTTTTATATTAGTTTTTTTATTTTATCCGAATAGTGAAAATGATAGGAGTAATGTGGGAACATCTGGGGCTAACGGCCCGTCTACACTACAGGCATCAAAAAATCTTGAAGCTGGGCGTGTCTGAAGCTTGGCGATTTTTTGCGAGCAACGCGACCAACAACCAATCACATGAATCTCCCGCCCCCGACATACAAAGCAAANACATCAAACTTGCACACTCATTTGAAAAGGCATCACCCGAACGTGAATATCACCGGTACCAAAAGAAAAAAGACTGAAGTGCAAACCCAACTCCCGCTAGCATTTAAGCCTCCACCACTCGCAAAAAGTTCAGTGCCATGTTAGCAAAGCGTTACCTGGGCTGTATCTGCTACCTCTGTCCCTAGCGTTGTGGCAAATACAGATTATTTCAGTTCATCAAAATGCTGCACCTTAATGTTTATTTTATTATATTTTGTATTTATTTGAGTGAATACATTATTCACACTTTAATAATAATTAAAAACCCCCAAAAAATATTTCATGTTTTGTGATCATTTTTTCTGCTGTACCGAGAACGTACCGAACCGTGACCTAAAAACCGAGGTACCTACCGAACCGAAATGTTTGTGAACCATTACACCCCTAGTGCAATCCTAAATGGAAAAAGTTATTCTTCTCTTCTTCAAAAGGGCCGAAATGTTTTGGAGCATGTGCTGTTGAACTAGAGGCACTATAGTACTCTTTATACCTATGGGCTACAACAGCAGTCAGGCAGGAGCACATGATGCCTTCCATCGTACAGGCCTGTGTTGTTCCCATCAGAAATGGAAGACCCCCGGGGGAGTGTACACAAGCCTCGCCTGATCATCTACTGTCATGGATGTCATGTGTGTGACCCACAGCATCGAGGCAGAAGACTCAACAATGTCACCCCACTGTCCTTTATTGCCTTCTTGCATGATGTGTAGAAAATGCTGAACAAGCGATCGCTAATCAAGATACACTGAGGAGAATTGCTGTTTTGCGTCATAGGGCTGGAATTTGAACGGGCGTGAAACCAAGTCATAACACATCTGTTTGCCTTAACACACACGCACACACGTACACATACACTCTCAGAATTAACAGGTGCACGCACACACACAGTGCTCCCTCAGCTGAGGTCACAGCTGTTTGACAGCAGCCAAACCCCACTTGTGTGAGCATTGAAACAGAATCTGTAATCCCCCTTTTTACCCTTAGCCTTAGCCAGCATGTATCAATCTCCAAACTTGACCAATATTGCTTTAGCAGAGATGAACACTGTGCATATGGGGCATGATAAATATGATTAGGCTATAAATGCAAGATAGTAAAACTAGAACTAAAGATTCAACCAATCTGCCTTAGTCGCTGTACACAAATCTGAGGAATTTTTTTTAACCCAGCAACTAGATGTTACACTTCACCAGTGTTTCAGTATCTGCCAATGATTCTAGCAGAAGAGAAACTGTGCAAGACTTCCAAACACATAAAGCGTTGTTGAATTCTGTCATTAGATTAGAAATGTTACTTGCAGATCATTGAACTTAAGAAGGTAAGATAAGTTCCCTGATCATCACAGCTGATCATCACAATGGAGGAACTCATTGAGGAAACAGAACCCCCATTCACGAGGTAACAGCCCCCGGCTCCGCAGCACACTGATGCGATGTAGGCCATGCTACTCTCAGCAGCACACAGGAGAGCAGAGCTGTGGAGCAACTTGAATCTTCTGCCAGAGTGAGAAACACAGGGGAGTGATGCAAAAGGAGGCATGGCATGACTTCTGCTGAAGGCATCACCCAGTGTGACTTTGATAAAGTTGTGATGTGGGCCTATTTCTGTTTTCAGTTTGGATCTAACTTTCAGAGCATATCCTGTTAAAAGGACCGTTCAAGTATCAACATACCACTTAAGCTGACAAAGTGGTAAAACATTTTGGCGGCTAATTTCATAAAAATGTCTTTTAACTAAGTCAAGTGAAAAAAGTGGAAAGCTTTTATCAAGGTCTATGTAGTCACGGCACAATTTGCTCTTTTTAAACCGTTTTTATTCAACAGTTTATTAAATGATTTGCCTTGAAAAGCTATTTATAGTCAAATTAGACCATTTAAGGCTTTCGTGGTTCAAATCACAAAGATATAAAGTACTATTTTAGATCATGACAGTCGGACAGACAAGGAGAATGGAAACCTAGATTATATGAGTGGCAGATAAGGGCTCCGGCTGATTGGAATGGGATTTTCTGGGTGCAAGTATGGCAGGCCTCACACACTTGGATACGTCTGTCTCTCAGGCGGAGATGACATTGATTCCAACTACATCAGTGACAGCACTTCTAGCTTCACCTTTTCTTCCACTGACACAAAACACACTTACGCTGCCTTTCATTCTGTCACTCATGCAGACAGTATCAACGTAAGAGGTGACAATCATAACAACAAGACGTAAACTTACGCTCAAAGTCAGAATCCTCATCATCGTCGTCATCATCCCCGTTGGACTCTGTTTGCATGGGCTCTCCATCAAACATCACTCCTTTCCCCATCTTGCCACCAGCTCCGGCCCCATCCTGGCTTCTGGTTTCCCGCAAACGGGTGAAGTACTGTACTGCAAAATCCACCAAGTCTGAGGGTCTTTGTCGCAGCACCTCCACAGTGTACCCCTGCAGCAGTTCTGTCAACCCCACTGGTATCTCAATACTCATGGCTGTGTGTGGCTCAGTGGCGGCGTATGCTATCTATCTGCTGAAGGAAAGAAAATTAGTCAATTTGTTTTGGTACAGAGTCTTACTTGTATCACAGTCCAGGGCTTTCTTAATAGTTGCTTTGAACGCTGAGTTTTACTATGGCGGTACAAAGTGTGCCCTGTGTGGCCTGTGAATGTTAAGTGGCTGATGACTGCTCTACAGGGGAACTGAAATGAATTGAAGCAGCCTTGATAACTGAAATAATGTCCATCAAGTTTGACAGCTGAACAGATACTGCACTAGCATGTATGAAGGTAGTGTAATGACGTACATTAAGTGTTGCTGTGACATTGTCACTGAGCGGCCACTTATCTAGGGTTGAGCCAAGAACACACAGTTCCCACAGCTGCACCAGCAGATATGAAACCAACATTTGCAAGAAGGGGAAGAGATAAACAGCTACATTCGCTGGGTTTCAGCGATATTACTACTCGGCATTGACAGAAACTGAGCTGTCAACTTGGGTGGGTTGCCGGCTCGAACTAGCTAGCAAAGCAGCTAATGTGGCTAATGTTCATGACAACTGGTTTACTGCCCTATTCGATCTACATGTAACTATACTTACATATATAACCTAGATAACAAACAATTAATACAGCAAACGTAGATGGGCTGTGTTTTAAGCGTTGTCTTACGTTAAAGGCATTGAGCATTAGCTTTCTTGCCACCTTCAATGAAGCCTTTACCGTTAGCTCACGCTATAATATGGCGCACTGGCTGCAGGGAGTTAAGCCACAGATAAGTGGCCGACTGGATAAACGTTACCATGCAAGCACAGCATGATGTCAAGCAACGTTAAGCTATAAACTAACCTAACGTTACTGTGTGACACTTACGTGAGAATCTGTCTCCCCGGCTAAACTAGCCAGTCCCCTCCTTCTTGGTGTCTTCCTTGTTCTCTCTTATTTCGTCTCTTCTTTTTAGCCAGTCTCTTTGCCAGTGTATCAACCGTATACCTCCACACTAAAACCCGGTCCAACGTTAAAGCCAATAAATGTTACGTGTGTCGCCGAGCTAGCGTTTTGAGGCTAGTTTAGCTCCCCAGCCAGCTGTACAGCGATGCTGGCTAAGTTGAGAGGAAAAAGCAGTCGACTTCACAGCTGCAGCCTCTTACGACGTCCACGCACTTGGGGAGGGTGGGACTTGCTGTGGCAGTATGGAGAGCTGACTAGCGGCAGGCTAACTCGCAGAGCTGCTAACTACTTGTTAGCATCTGCCTGTTTGTCCTTTGATATCAGTCGAGCGACTCCTCTCCTGGAGACACTGATAAGTCAGCTGCTGCAGCCAGGTGAAAACTCCTTAAGTCAGCGTTTTTGCCACACCACTTTTAAGTACAACCACGAGTACCGACAAAAACCCTTTTTTAATTTTATTCCAGCAGTGTCGCGGCTAATTACATCAAGAGAAGCCTGCAGAAATTAACTGAACACGCGTTTCTTCCCTCCCGGCGAAACACTCCGCACTACACTCAGGAATGAACCGCTGCCTGTAGCCAGCGTAAGGAGGCGTGGCTACTGAGTGAGCAGAGAGCGTTTGACATTGATTGACAGAAAGCTGGACCAATCCGAAAATAAGTTCTGCATACCCCAGCCCAGCGCCCAGCCAATTGGATATTGGCATGTAAATGAAGGCGGGATCAAAGGCAGACTCATATTCTCAGAATAGGACCACACCCACAGAAGTGGCCTTCACAATTTGGCAGAGATCTCTAGAAATAGTAGAAAATAAAGAAATATATATACAACTAATTCAGGGAAACATGCCTGGATTTGTAAAGACTAATGAGAAAAAGTGTTTTCTCTATTCTAGAGTATTTTCTAATATGTATTCTTGAATGAGGGTGTGCTGCAAATAGTGTGATGAATTCTTGAAATAATACTTGTGATGTGAAATGTAAATAAAAACAATCCTATATAACTGACTTCAGAACTTTGCTGCTCTTTGACCTGCAACAACCCATCATTCCACAGAAGTTTGTTTTATTAACTTTGCTGTGGTATCACTGAATACAATACATTACACATCGGTACAGCTAAAAGTCTGCAGCAGAATGCCTTTCTTGAAAACCCTATATCCTCGGTGTTATTTAAGTACGAAGATTACAATTCTCAATTTCTGGCCCTGATCCCTTATTCCCTTGTCCAACCCATCCATCATCCTTTCCTTCCTTCCAGACTTTTAAGGCTCTTCAGAGGACACAACTATGTGCATATCAAATCTTAGTGTAACCCTCTAAATTGCATCATACTAGTTCCACCAGTCTCTGCACATTTCTTTCTATTTTTGTACGTGCAGCTTCAGTGCATTGGTGATTCTTGTGTCCTCTCACCATCTTCCCACTCTTGTTTACTTTGTTTGTCTACAGTCAGTTTTCCCCTGCTGAAATGAGCCTGTCTACGTGGAGCAGGATCACTGAGGGACGATCTACAGGTACCTATTCTGAGAGGTTTGCTAAGCACCACCACCGTCCATGTAGCATCTCCTCTCTTCCATTTCCGTTCCTCAGCTGTCACAGAGGTAAAGCCGTTGCCATGGCCACAGCGAGCACCGATTTAATTCCTCTTACCTGATTCTGATTGGTTTAGGAATTTGTTTTCAACAAACACAGATGAGAAACAGAAGTCCAGGCTCCCTCTGCTGGGAGAATACACTCTGGTTATAACACATTATTTGAAAGGTTCCTGTCATGTTAAAGATAAAGATGTTAACCCAGAGTGTGTAACTGATTCCAAGCTGCTTCTTTAAACAACAGAACAAACTCCTCAAAATTAACCACATAATCAGTAGGATAATTCTCAGTCTCACATGGTAGATAATGGTGGTTGATTACCCCGCTGATATCTATTAGCTTGTGAACCTTCCCTTAGTCTTTGCTGTATTTGCTGTATTAGCCCACAATAAGACTCATGGCAGCGTATGCCTCAAGGGAGTGCATTTTTCTGTGTAACCACTTCCCACAGGAACATAAACAAGTAGCAGTACAACCTATAGAGACAGTGACAGATGAGTTTTCACATGTACAGCCGGGACTGGGGTCTTGGCTTTCCTAGAAGTGCCATCCTTTGGGAGTTTCTGCGAATGTGGTTCCAGTCAACTCTAAAAGTGTCTCAAGGAGAGCTAGCCTACATTTTCAGAGAGAGGGGGGAGGATAGAGAACATGGGTGAAAGTAGACACTTAGTGTACACTGTAGGCTATGTGGAGGTGTGTATAGACTGTGTGCGTTTTAGTATCTGTCATCTCCAAACATCTCCATCTCGGACCGCTGACACACAGCCAGTTTTCCATTTAGGCGTTATCAGGTGTTAACATAAGGATGGACAACGGTGAGGAGGATGAGAGAAAACAGACTGTACCATATGCTTGCAGTGTCTCAATGTAGGGAATAAAACAAAAGGAGAAAAGAGCCAGGAAATAATCTTAAATGACACTGATGGTGGTTTTATAACTGGAAGTTGTTATCAGGGGAAGTATTGCTCAGATTAAGTAGTAATGGAGGACCACCACTTAAGATATATGGCGTGCATCATGTGATTGATGAAAGGTTTTTGCTTTGGAAACTACGTCTAGTGCTTATGAGTTGGGGGTTAAGTAAAATTAGACTTTATTACCACAACAATTTCTTGCAATGAGATTTAAAAGTAAGGGCTCTGAAAACAAATAAAATATAGAAATAGAAATCTGTATTTGTTATCTTCAGCCACCCTCAAAACCAAATTGGTTCATTCATGTCTTGCCTTTTTGTACACACCGACACTACCTTCATACAACCGAGGCTGTCTCAAATTAATGTTGTGATACAACACCACCACCTACTGACTGATGCGCGCCTGTTCAGACTCAAATCTCAATAGTTCTCAAATCTCAAAATGTTTTCCCGCATTGTTCTTAAATAATTTCAAATGTAAAACTTCACAGAAACCACAACAGCAATATTGTCTTATCCCACCCAAATTCACCGGATCACTGGTCTGCAACGCATCATGAAAAATGTTTAGGATTCTGACAATATCTAACATAAAAAAACAAACATTCAAGGAACTTGAAGACTGTTAGGAGGTATTGTGCGGTCTCTAAAACAGACCCCAATTCACTTGATACCTTATTTCATTATAATTTATTACATGTATTTCCTATAATATAATGATATGAGAAGGCTTTTCTCTATCACACTATATTGTATGACTATCTGTTATGAAAAATCATAACAGATCTGTGTTTTAAGCAAGATCTTTACCAGTAAGTAATTATGGACAGAAATATTATTTTTGTGCGCACAGTTCAAGTAATGATTTTTTTATTTGTTCTTAGTTTACGAACTGCAAATATTTGAGTCCTTCATTATTAGTGTTTGCTTGGATTAAATCTAAATTAAGTTTAAACCTTGAAACTAAAAAAGTGCAATACAGCCTTTTGCATTTTGAAGGAGGTTCATAAATAGTAATCTCTCGTATTCACTTGTTTTTTTAACAAAATCTCAACATGTACAAATGGAGAAAAGGCTGAATAACATTGCCAAATAGGGCAGTCTAGATAGACCCCCCCAAAACACGTCTCGTTGTTTTGTATTACAAACCATTCTGTAGATATCATGTGATCAACAGAACTTCCTGTTTTTGCTGGAAACTAATGGGAAAAAATGGTTAATTCACAAATGTGACAGTCATTACATTAACCAGATGAGGACCTCATCTATAATGTGAAAAACTGTGTTGTTATCCTTTATGTGTGTGTCTACAGGCACTTAAAATAAACAGGTGTTTAGTTATGAACTATCTCCGCATACACATAAACACTCAGAAACTGATTGGACAGAAATTGACAGAGACAGATAAGCTATAAATATAAAGAGACTGACAGGAGAAACACAAGCAGACAGACACAATTACTGAGACAGAAACTGATTTGACAACCAGGAAATGGAAAGTAACGGAGGAACGGATCTGCTTAACGCAGCTCTGTACAGCTGATTTATATCAAAACACACTCTAATCGACTCACACACACAAACACGCTTAGATAAATGTTCAAAATTGTAATGGGGCATAAACAACACTAGGCCACAATCCAAAAATAACGGACAGTTCATATTCCCATACAAATCTTTTATTTGGGTGGAATGCTTATTTTGCTGTTTGAGTCAAAACCTGATACCAGCAGTTTAGTCCTCAAAGATATTTGACCACATTGTCTTTGATTTAAAATGACAGAATGTTTAATGAAAGCACGTCCAGGTCATTTTGTAAGTGGAGATACCTCAAGATTGATGTGAAAGTTCCTGAAAAGTAAATGGGAAAGAAGTAGAAGATTTCCCCAAACCTGTAGCAATAACACCCTGTTGATAAGATCTTGTTATAAAACAGTTTTTAATATCAGATGGTTTAAACATTTATAGTTCTCTGACAAACTGCACAAAGACGCACAACGCCGACTTAAACCCACAGTAGTAAAATACTCTCTATGCATAATCATATCAGAATTATTGTCATACATTTTTGCGATTGCGGACTGTACACACTTACAACCCTGACAGTTTCCATCGAAAAAAAGTATTGTGGACTTTCATGTAGCATAAAAAGTAAAAGTGACAAAATATGACAATATATTTAAATGTTAGGGTATAAAAAGTGCCTTGTCATGATGTGTAATCAATATATAGTAGCCTATACATAAAAGGAATACCTATAAATACTCTAAGATAAATAGAAGATTTATAAAATACATCGCATTCTTCATTTTTGTATTTCCATCGAGTGTTGTTAGCAATGCTATGCTTTTATACACTGTTTTACAATTAGGTTAAGTAATCAAGCAGTCTGGCCACTGTACATCAACATTGTTTTATGTTATTAAAAGCAGCAAGATTTGAATGTTTTTGCTCCAAAATGCAATGTCAACCATTAAAAAATGGCATCATAAACTACACGTATAGATTAGATTTAAATGGGAGGATGTGTGAATTAATTACATTACATGATTAATTCAAGGTAGAACCTTTTTTCATGCATTCACAGCATTTTGGAGTCCTCTTCAATTCTTGCTGTCTGTTTGAGCACTGCCACTAGATTTAATTCATGCAAAGTGCACTGAATTATTCCAGCGCACTCTAATCTCATAACATTACAGAAAGACTGGCCTGTGCCCATTAGTCCTCTATCATATATAACAAGCTCTTTTCTTAGAAACAGTCATAAAGTCAAAACACATTTTGAATTATTTCCTTTGTATTTTCTCTACTTACTTAACATATAACTTCACTCATAACATAAAAGAGATATTAACAGTCAAGTGAATTATTACATATTAACAGAGCAATGCATCTGTACATGGCTATCTCTCAGTATGACAACATCCACCACTTTCAAATCAAAACAAGGGATAGATGGGGGCAAAAACATAGCAACTCCCTAAAATTCGAAATAAATCATTAAGAAATTGAAACGTTGTGTTGTCAGTAACAGCAGAGCAGCCTGATTTAAATTCAGCGAGTTTCTTATTATTCACTGCGACGCTAATTGTCTGCTCTCTCATCTCCGCGCTCGCACCAAAGGGAATCCTCACAGCAGCGAACTGAACAACCAGCTCTGAAAGCGCTTTTCATCCTGCACCATTAACAAATACACATCTTTCACTGGCTGATAAAAATCCAAACAAAAACTGTGCTGCCATGGTTACAGTCAGCTACACTCTCTTTTCCTCTCACTCCATCTCCATCTGTCTTTGCCCTCATAGCAGTATGCACTCTTGTAGTCTGACAGGTAGATTTGATTTAGTTGACGTTCTGTTACCCAGCATCCTACGAGTCTGAATCCATTGTGCAGCAGGGATGCTATTACCAGTTTGAATATACCTGGGACTGTGCAGCCTTTGTGTGTGTGCTGTGCCGGCTGCCGCCCAATCAGGAGCAGATTGTGTTTGAAGTGCTTGTGATAAGACGCTGGGGTTAAGGGTCTGACTCCCACTGGGACCCGTGAATACATTACATCTCAATCTGTGTCAATGTAACCTGATATCTTCGCCTGAGGACTGAGAAAAGCAGGGAAGAGGATGCGTTTACACCCTGAAAAAGGATAGAGTGAAAAGCATTCTTTGTATCATTAATGTCTCATTGCATCTCCATGGTTTTATCACTACATCAAAGACAAAAAGGATAAAAATAGCCAAACACCTCAGAGCTGTCTGCAGGGCATTTGTGGGTCACACTAGCGCACACACACTCATTAATATCAAGTGTTTGCATCCCTGAAGTTATTTAGTAGCTTAGGGTTAGCTGAGTCGGTGGAGATTCAAACAATGTGTCCTCTGTTAAACAGTTATCTGTCCAAAGAGCCTGAGAAGAAGAACATAAGCTGTTGCTGTTCTGATAATTGAGCACTGGGGGCAGTGTGGGTGGCTGACAGTACGAGATGTTGGAATTAACAGCAGAACAAGGGGCTCTGTGATGGACAGAACAAAGAGCGCTGGTCACCAAAGCAACACAAAAAGGTGGAGAGAGAGGGTGACACGGGGTGAGGCAGGAGGAGACCGGGTGAGGGAAACGAGAGGGAAAAAGAGACGGAGCAGGCCTGAAGCCAGAAATCCATCTCAATCTGTAGGTCTTGTAGGGATCACCGTGGTTACTATACATGTAAAATGGAATTAAAAAAAATCTACGTTGCCGCCGACCTGCTGCCGTGGTTACACATGAGTAACGGTCACCGTGGATACCACACTGTGCTTCCCCTACTCTCTCTGCGTGAGGCCTTTTGAACTCTGTGTGATAGAGAAAAGAGCCAGAGGGGAATGAGATGTGTTTTCTACAGAAATGCACAATGTCTGAAGTCAGACACTGATATGAAAGCCACACAATGTTTGCTCCCTTCCCATCTTTGATGATTATGGTGGAAAAAATGCCTCCTGACTCCTCCTCATGCTAAATGAATAGGTGGAGGAATCTCAGGACGCTTAGGAATACCTGCTAATTACAGCCTACCTGAAATATCAAATAAAGAGCTCAGTGTGTTTCTGTCCAGCTTATAATTACCGGCTACCAAGAATAAAGGCTACTGTGGCATTATTGCTATGGTTTCGTCAGCCACTGCTGACTCTGAGTACTCCACACTGCTGAGAACATTTTGAAAGTTGACAGATTCAAACATTGGATATATATAACAAGTGAGATATTAGTTTGACCACAGCTGCAGCTACTTTTATTGTAGATGCGATCAGATGAAGCCCAAGCTATTCCCATGGCTGCCATAAAGTCCATCTTTTAAATTATTTGTATTATTTCCATTCTAAAATCAAATCAAGTTCATTTTCCATGTCTTTTGAATCCAATTTGATTAACTAAAAGCTGCTTCAAACCCTTTCACACTTCCAGGAATAATATCCTGATGGAGAATAGTCTTCAACTACTAAAATGTATCTATAAAGTTACCATCATGTGCGGATGCAGTAGTTCTATTTCCCAAAGCTGCTAAAATGTATTTTAAGATCAATGAATTATATTAGATTGTTGTGGTGTTTAGGTTCAGAAGTTAAAATCTCAGTAACATCCCTTTCTGTCCCTTCACCTCTGGAATTCATTCTGGACCACATCCTGTTTTTCCAGCAAAATGATAACTGCAGCATTGTTCTGAGGGGTTGGGATCCCACTGTGGCCTCCCAGGCAAGAAACGGACACATCCACATGAAAAGATCTGGATGAAGTGTCCTCCAGATGCCAGATGCTGTGATGAGAAGAGATCTCTTCTTTTGTTCTCAGTAACAGAGAGGGGGTTCCCTTTCATTTTCCATCTGGTCTGAGCTTAATGAAGTTACAGCTTCAGAGATTGAGCCTAACAATGTCACCAACTGGGACCGGAAAGGTCAAAGGTCACATAGAGAGGGGACCTTTTGAACTTTGCTCTTTTTCTGTAATTCCCACCTGCAGAGGGAGATTGAATATATTATAACTTATAATGTAAATGAAGGTGTTGGGGAAGTAATCCTAAGACTGTTATAAGAAAATATCTTAAACAAGGAAAAGAAGACTCTGTTGCTAGGATCCATCGAAGAATTCACTTAATTTGTAAAACAACATGCCGGATGATTATTACTGGATTTAAAACTAGACCTCAGGCCTCACGATTCAGATAAATGGATTACGAAATATGTAAAGTTTAAGAGCTAAGCATCTGTCTCCAGGCCAAAGAAAAAAGGGACATGCGGAAAAGTGAGGGGAAGAGAGGATATGTTATGTATACACAGACACATGTACTTAAAGTACAGTTTCTGAGCCACTATAAAAGTGTCAAAAGTGGTGTTTTAGGTCATTTGTAAAACACTGCGCTCACAGAGGAGAGTTTTAAGAGAGCTTGCAGATGCTTGCTGAACTGTCTCACTGAAAATCTGCTTTATATCCACTGGTCTTAAACACACGGACAGAGACAGACCTGTCTGCTGAGGAGCCATGAGCAAAAAGTAAATGTGCCTGTGCCGATTCATAATGTCTTACATTACGTTGGTCATCAGTTTTTAAAAAGCTCTGGCTTGTTTATATAATTGAGGGAAAAACTTGAATATTGCACTTTAAACCCCAGCATAATGTAGCTTAAACTTCACTTTAGCTGCATCTCACTGAGGTCTAATGGAGAGAACCACATTTTTATCCAAATCTGCCCATGACTGAAAAACAAGGGAAACATCCCAGCTGCTGAGTATCTTAAACAGGAAGTAGTTTCTGACCCCATCATCCAATTAAAATCTCTATAACCTGGGTTGATTGATAGGTACACAGGAGAGGTGGATATACTCTTGTTTGTTAAGTTCTTGCCCGGAGGATATTGTCAGTACACTTTTTATACTGAAAAAATAATGTCAGTCTATCGGCCCGAGTGTGTTTCCCACACCAGAGTGCAGTAGTGTTGTTATGCCTCTTGGGACGAGGTTGGCAGTTTCCCTGGAGCTCCTACAGGTTGTTTCTAGGAGCCTTGTGGTTACGGCGATGTCACAGCTGGGATGCGATCTGTGATCCATCCGGTCACCTCCTTCAGCGTGGACTCAGACACCTCCGGGAGGTCGTGGTGAAGGGCGTGGTAGGCCCCCTCGAAGACCTGAACAGACAGCAGCAATGAGAGAGTCAGAGAAATGGGATGTACGCATCGAGGAAGATGTTAAAAACTGGGTCATTTGAGATAAGTGCCTTGAGTGTCATATTTCAGGAAGAAACTTGTTTTCTCTTCTGCTATGATGTTCTGTGTGAACAGCGTCTTTTAAAATGAACTGCAGTCCAATTTCAGGCAGATTCAGCATGCTAGCTAAACCTGCAAGGAAATATTCAAAACCAAAATAAACAGACACTTTTCTGTGATGAACTGACGCCTGATAACATTCGGTTCAATATTTGGTTCACCAATTGTATGTCTCTGATAAGACATGTGCTAAAGCAGTCCATGTACGTCATGAGCACCACCTGATGCTATAGAAAAGAGGAACAACACGTAAGATAAGAAGTGGTTAGGAAACATCTTCTTTCTTTTTACTTGCCATAATTACAGTTTTCATCCCTCTTGGTTTGACCATGTGGTTTAAAAAGAGCGTGTGAACTTCCTTCTTCACAAACACACATCCTCCCGCGAATAGGAAGAATCCATCTATATATCTGTAGCCTTCAGTGTGTCTGTCAGTGAACCATGCGGGACTCAGCACTACAGAATGTGTGTGAGGAGGCTGAACATATATTTGACTGACAACATAGTTTAGTTTAGGCATGGACCTTCTGCCCATCTGCTGGCTTTTCAAAGGTGAATGTATTCTGTATGCATTTTACACTGCTTGAAGTTGCACTTTATGTAACGGTCAGATCCAAAAGCAAAACTATTTTGCCTTCAACCCTTCAACACGATACATTATTTCTCAATGTTTTGGTCTCAAGGTTTGTCTGAATGTGACGATTTCTTCTGTTTAACCTAGCTTTCCAGACAGTCCTACTGCTTTTCACTGAACAGTCCTTCCTCACCTTGAATTTCTTGTCGGAGCTCGCGGCGTTCTCGTGCATCAGCTTGGAGCCTCTGATGTCGCAGAGCTTGTCGGTGTCGCCGTGCAGGAGCAGGAAGGGCCAGCTGATGGAGGGGATCTCCCTCTCGATGCGCGCCGCCGCCCCCATCAGCTGCATGGCGAACGACACCCGCATGCCCCCGTGGAAGTTCAGCTCATCGGCGTCATACGCCTCCACCTGGCAGGAAAAATAAATATAAGAGTTATTGAGCAAAGTTTATCACATATCTCGCTGGTTCTGATTTGTTATTTATTCCATCTTTATTTAACCACAACAATAAACCTTGTAGATGAATTCAAATATGGAACAAAGTCAAGAAAATAAGGGCCTCCATGGGAGAATAGAGGACCTTGAATAGGGAAAACTATGAAAGTTGGCAAATTGGAGTTAGGTTCATAAATAAATGGATAGGAAGCTCTAATGGTAATACAACTAAATGAGGACCCACAGTTCCCTTACATTAAATATGAATGATTTCAAGTTCCACATGTGCTCTCACATCATCACACACATGCCCATTTCTATTCATTTTATTATGTAAACACAGCTGATGGCCACTCTTGGGCAATATGAACTACTGCTTTAAATAATCAATGACTGTAAGCTGATCATAAAGTGCCTTGCTGAGCATCCCAGGGGCTTGGTTAGATGTTGTTGCACATTATATCCTCATGTATTCAAATTGAAGCTTCATTTACACATCTGCCTGAAGTAATACATATGATAGCTACATTTACAATGCTGCCTCAAAATGCAACATTTTCAGTTTTCCGCACCAAAACCACATGGCGACCGCAAGAACTTTCATTGGTCAGCTCCGGCTGAATATGCTCACATAATTCACATGAAAAAGCTTCTTCGTCTTATTCCTTCTGTCTCTGCTATTATGGTAAAAGATAAAACTAGAGCCTGGTTTGAAAAACACAGGAATTATCACGTTGGAAATAACAGTTTCACATGATGTTGCTATTTTAAAATGTATTGATCTCTTATTCATGCAGGGGAATTATTATTTAGGATTACCTACAACTAAATACAAATAATAAAACGATATAATGTGACATAAAACAACATTGTCCCATGATTAAAGTCTTATTTTCAGTAAAGGTGAATCTTTTCCCAAAGCATATGAAAGATTGTGAGGAAAACTATTATTGCATGACACTGCCCAATCATGCACAATATGTCCGTCTAGTCTTAAGGGTTAAAGCAATGGCTCCAAAACTGACACCTTACACATTGTCTCAAGTATACCTAGCTTTACAATAGCCAGATCCTGTCAAAAACGTTTGTCACATGCCATAGTCATCTGCTGTTTAGGGTTTTGGGAGAAACATTGAGTTGAATTGATCGAAATAAATTACTTGTTCTGGAGCAAATGTCCACTTTCCTCATGGGGGAGTAGTCTTCTGGAGTGTGGCTTAGGAGTTGGGCTAGGTAAAGATGGTGCACTAGATAGCTATATTGCCTAATTTGTGGACTAACACACATTAAAAGGATTGAATGCAGTTCCCTATATCTCTATTTTTCAAGCTACAGTAGCTGTAAAGCCAAAAACCCTTAATGAAAAAATATATAGGAGCCGCCCATTTATTGCCCCCTCCATGTCCCTTTCTTGGCTTTGTAGCTGTTAACCATCTCATGAGAAAATTAAGTACTTTTTTTTTATCTTTTAATGAAACATATATGTAGGTTTACTTCCTCCAACACACTGAAGGAAGCGTCAGCAGCAGGATGTGGGATTCTATTGTGATTACAAAGTTTTCTGAAAGGCCGGCTTTGTTGTGCAATAACTTAAAGACATATCAAGTATGTACACACACAACACCAACTGTAGAACCACCACAAAACGGACGTATACTCTGTTTCCTACCCACACACAGGCAAATACAAGTGTGTTTATCTCTTCTACGGTTAATTGAAAATACACACAGTTCACACGAAGGAATGTGTTTCTTTAGGTGACAAAATACACCTGTTTTGATCATTAAAGATAACACAATACAATCAACACAAAGTATCACACACACAAAAGGAAAGGCTGGGTGAACTTCCTGGGACTGTAACTGAAGTTTTTGCATGATTACACAAACACACAAATAAACCATACACCCTTTCCTCTGCGAGACTTTGTAAATTAGATTCTCTGCAACACCCGTGCCTGATATTTCAATCAAAGATAACAAAACAGCTCTTTTACAAAAACATACAATAGGCGCCTCTCACCTGCTTCATGTCGCGTGACACCCATTTGGAGTCGATGGTGCCCAGAGTGAGGCTGGGCACCATGTGGTTGAGGACCTTTGCCATAAAAACCTGCAAAAGAAAAGACAAAAAGAGCATTTCAGTTTATTTACATACTCCTGATAAATATTCCTATCCCTCTGTATTTTATTTCTCGCCATATTATTGTACAGTAATGAATAATTGGAATATTGTATTATTCCCCTGATTCTTGCCCGTGAAAGACACTTCATACACGTCAGTATCAGAGTCATCACACACAGCAGGGCTAAGCGGAGTAAGGAGAATGACTCTTGGGTTAACTGACTGAACAGTGTGACTGCAGTATGACTTAAAGTGGAGAGGAAAAGAAGAGAGCCAAAGTGAAGAGCGGTGGAGAGAAGGAGTGCTTTACCTTGAACGGTGTGGCCGAGTCCGGGTTCATCTGGACCATCGGAGCGATCAGAACCACTCCAGAGAATTCACTGGGCCTCTCACAGGCCGTCAGGATGGAGATGGCACCACCCTGAGTGGGAAAAAGCAGAGAATATTTAATCAGAATTCCATGTTTTAATCTCTCGCTTTTGGAATCATCTTTAGTACTCTCTTTCTGTAACTCTTTATCCCTGACCTCAGCTACAAAGCAACCAACATTACTGCAGGGTATGCAAAAGTGAATCTTATTCAACAGACAAACACAAAAAAGTATGAGTTTAACCACCAATCTAAACATTTAATTTCAGTGGATCCATATCACATGCGGTTTGCTATTCATTGTGATGTCAGGTGACCATAAGGAGTATCAGCTTGTATAACTGACAGTCATGTGACCTGAAATCAGCATCTCATTGGTTGCTTTGTGAAACAGTGTTGCAGCAGGTAGGCCTTTCAGTTCATTTGAATACTAGGGGAATGGGAATTGATCTGACACCTACACAGAGAGCTTGAAATGAAGGTCATGGTAGAAGTTGTTTGATTTTTGTAGATTATTAACTGTAAAACCCGCCACTGGTGAACGTTTCCAGATGGACAATATCCAATCAAATAAGTTTTAAAACAGAAAGAGCAACGGGCAAAGGCGTAGAGTTTAAAATCAAAGCAGTTACAAAAGTTTAAAACTGAAGAAAAAACGTGTCTCTGTGTTGGGAATATGATATAAGCTCCTTTTTCGACCTGTAACAAAAGACTTGGAGTGTATTAGCAAAGTAGGTGAGAGGTTGTGATGCGAGGAGCGGTGGGAAAAGTCCTCAAAGGTCAAGACGAACATAAAACAATCGATCTTTTGTTGAGACAAGCGTTCCACCCCGCTCTTTTGTGGCAGCTGCTCCACAGACTGGGAGAGAGACGTGAACCCAGGGCCCCAGGGCACAGCGTGCACTGTGTGGCTGCAGCGAACAGCAGCGCAGGGCCACACCTTGGCACCAACGCTGACATTAGGGATTGTGATTTAAATCCTGTGATGTTAAGGCCATGATAATTAGCAGCTCTGTGGCGGCCAGGAATCAAATCGATTTTCTACGGTTCACTTTGTCATGGTTTCTCTTCTCAGATGGAGCAAGTGCAAGTGTGGGTGGGCACAGACACACATGCACATGACTCTGCATAGGGAAATCTGCTCCCACTCTCTCTCTTCTTCTAGAGACTAATTGGCTTCAACTTTGTTTATGTGAGCGTTCTTTGTCACTTGTTTGAATATTCATCAGGCTGGGGCCAATGACAGGAAAAGAAGCTCTGAGAGATAAAACATTTCCCACCAGAAAATCTCACTTTCTAAAGCACTCACTGCATATGCCCACACAAAAACACACAGTTAGGAAAAGAGGCCTGTTTCTCCCTTGCACACACATTCCAACACATACTAAAAAAACACATGAGCTCACACTGAAACATCCACGTGTAAACACCAGGACTCGATCAAATGGGGACATTTCTGCTAGATGATTTGGTTAACACATCACATCTGATTCTGGTTAAGCATGACTCAATGTTACTTGGTACAAAAGATCATTCTAGGTCATGCAGACACAACCATGTACTGTACATCGGGCTCCTATGATATAGAGAGATAAGTGTGAATAGGGGAGAGAAAGAAAGGGACAGAGGAGTCCTTTAAGAAGCTGATTAAAGGCCTCACTACACTTTCTCTCTCTGAACATTGGTTAAAGACGATGAATACTTGCATTGTATGTCTGTCAGCTGATAGTGGGTGGACTCAAACTGTCAAAAATTCCCTTAGGAGCCAACATGCTAACAAAATTTAGACTATACAGCTAAACAGCTGGCATACTGACATTGCAAGATCTAATTTGGCTTGATATTAAATAAACTAGGGAAATATAACAGACTTGGAGAGAGATCGATGGTTGACGGCTGATCCAAATATATCAAGGCCCTAAATAGTGATGAAACATTATATAAAACTCTGGCAGGGAAGAAGTAGGACAAATGAGTCTCGGCCAGAAATATTTATGTTAGAAGCACAGAGATGAGGAAGAGTGAGAGTGAGAAGGAGCCACAGATGAAGGCATTTGTCAGCATTCCCATGAGCTGATACAACACCAACGAACTGCTCCAATTATTTAATCACGGCTTAAACAAATACGATGCAGAGAAAACTGTGAAATAGTGTTGTTTATGAGACACATAAGCAACACATTTTCTAACTCTTAATATTTTGTAAGTATTTATCATTTCACGTGTTAACTCCCTAGCCCAGGGGTTTGGTGAGAACTGTGGGTATTTTCTAACTAATTCTTCACGTTCTTCAGCAGTATTTTCAGATTCATAAACTCCAATTATCACTTGTTTTAGATAGAAAATGATTTCATAAGAGTTAACAGTCATGCTGTGAATGTCAACGCTAAATGCTAACATCTGATTGCCAACATGCTAACAATATGGATGCTATAATGCTGATGTATAGGCTGTGTCTGAAATCACTTCCTCTTTACTATGTAGTCCACATTTTTACTCTTTTAAAAAAGTTAATACAAAATATATAAAGTATACATAGCCCTCAAATGTAACAAATAAAGCAGTGTCAATGACTTACACTACTTTTTGCTAACAATATCACAATGCACTTGCTAGTCATTAGTAGCATCAGTTAGAGTAGCCTACAATTCAACTGTTGACCTGATTAGGCCACTAGATAAGAAGTCAAAGGATAGCCGAAGTATTAGGATTCATCCTCTGGCCATGGTATAATGTCTTTGCATAATTTCTTGCCAATCGAGCAAGTAGATATTAAGATATTTCTGTTGGGACCAAAGCAGTTAGCCCGAAAGAAAGACTGACATTAGCAATGCCAAAAGGCTAAGCTTAAAATGCCAATTTAAATTTACACAAATATTCCTGACTATGAAAGTACATTTATTTTCTTCAATGTTATCAGGAGAACTGCTTACACTTTAACCTGAGTGTCAAATGTTTAAACCTTTTTGATTGAAACAACAACTGGCTTAATTATAAAATTATATTGCCGTACACCAACAAAAAAACGTTTTTTGAGGGGTTTCTTATAGGGAGGAGTTTATGTTCGAAAAATGTGTCAAATAAACAAATAAAAGTTGCGTTGACTTGCTTTAACTAACATATATTACTAAAGTCGCATTAGAAATGCACTTATTTGAATTAAAACCATATTTACTTTATTCAAAACTAACCAAGTTGTAATGTGCTTTTGTTTTGTTTACATTATCATTGTCCACATATTTTATACTTCATACACTTGATTTATAGCAGACAGGGTTGATGATGTGTGAGTTTAGGACATCTATCTACACTATGTCCGGGCCGCTAACTGCAGTCTCCGCAGGATGTTATCGTTGGAGCAGCGTCCCTGCAAATACTCTAGAATCCACAGGGTGTATCCACATGTTCTTCTAGTTGTTGCGTCATCTTCGCCTCTTTAAACAAAGACTCATACAAGCGGAGAACACATAACAGAAACAGGATGAGGAGCCACAAAACTGGAAAGCTGGGAAATTACACAACATTTAATCTGGGTTGGGTTTCCCAAACTTTCATGTCTGTGTTTCATTTGTTTCCAAGAAAAGATAAGTAGAGGAGATAAAGAACAATAAAGGCCATAAAAAAGGACATTAGAAAATCAAACCAAAGCAAAAGAATGACAGGAAGTACTATGGGGGGAAAAGAAGACAGGAAGTGAAAGTAGGAGACGGTAAGACAGGTGGACTTTGACGTAGACTGGGGATCAACAGAAGGAAGGAAAGACCTAAGAGGGGATGGAAAAAGATAAGCAGAGAAGGAGGAAATGCGGGAAGTGCTGCTGTTGCTTCGGTCAGCTCTGCCTTAATATTTATACACTTTGACAACAGACACATCATCTGGGATCCCACCGTTTCATTTACCCAACTCTGTTTGTCCTCAGATTGTTTTGAACGCAGCATCAGTCTTTATATAAATACAGTGCTGCTGGAAAGCTAGGGCCATAAAAGGATGGAAAAACAGACTCCCAAATGAAATGGATCAGTGTTTAAAAGTAAAAGCTGAACTGAAGGCGTAAATGTAGAAGCCTGTTAAATGTAAAACACACAAGGCTTAATAGCAGGAAGAGGGAAAACAATGCTTTACATGTGACTGGAGCATTGGATAATAAAAAAGACAAAGCTACATTGTGCTTGGGGACTGCATACAGTTCACGAGGAATAATAAATACACTCAAAGTATAAACCTATATAAATTGTGCCTATAGGCCAAGGTTGCTCACTCAAAGGGTTGGCTTGAAGTGAAACGCTTCGAACATACAGAGATACTTTATATATTTTTTCCATAATGTAGATACATTTCTTTCAAAGCTTGTCATATCTTCTGTGAAAGACATGTTCTTGCTGAATCAAAGGAGCCCACTGAATCACTGCTGTGCTGCGAGATAACAAGGCTCCATGCGTCTCGCCGCAGATCGGTTCTGCAATGAATTTGCTTTTATCCTTTGTGTTCTGAAAATACACTTCCAGCTAAAACGCTATAAACTGCGTATTTGTGTTTGTACTGAAACATGTCTGACTAACGCAGGTGGGGCATCCTGTTTCCTGCAGCACATCATGTTACTTGTTCTGTGTCAGTGTGTGATGAAGGTAACTTCTGTTACTCACTGTGGACTGACGGTTTCAGGCCTTGTACACTGAACAAAAATATAAATGCAACACTTTTGTTTTTGCTCCCATTTTCCATGAGATGAACTCAAAGATCTAAAACATTTTTCTATATACACAAAATAACCATTTCTCTCAAATATTGCTCACAAATCTGAAAAAATCTGTGATAAGTAGCACTTCTCCTTTGCTGGGATAATCCATCCCACCTCACAGGTGTGGCATATCAAGATGATGATTAGACAGCATGATTATTGCACAGGCGTGCCTTAGGCTGGCCACAATAAAAGGCCACTCTGAAACGTGCATTTTTGCTTTATTGGGGGGGTCTGGGGAGGTTCGAAAACCAGTCAGTATCTGGTGTGAGGGTTAGGATTAGGGTTAGGGTTAGGGTTAGGGTAATGTTGTGAATCGAGTGGCCTGTGTTCATCGTCCATAACATACACCTGCCCATATCATAACCCCACCACCACCATGGGCCACTCGATTCACAACATTACCCTAACCCTAATCCTCACACCAGATACTGACTGGTTTTCGGACCCCCCCAGACCCCCCCAATAAAGCAAAAATGCACGTTTCAGAGTGGCCTTTTATTGTGGCCAGCCTAAGGCACACCTGTGCAATAATCATGCTGTCTAATCAGCATCTTGATATGCCACACCTGTGAGGTGGGATGGATTATCTCGGCAAAGGAGAAGTGCTCACTATCACAGATTTGTTCAGATTTGTGAACAATATTTGAGAGAAATGGTTATTTTGTGTATATAGAAAAATGTTTTAGATCTTTGAGTTCATCTCATGAAAAATGGGAGCAAAAACCAAAGTGTTGCGTTTATATTTTTGTTCAGTGTATATTGCACATGTGGTTTATTTTTAAAAGTGTTCCTCCTCCCGTTTTTCCTGTTGCTCCTGATTATGTTCACCTGGTGCCAAGGAGGTCGGGCCGCTCAATTGTCAGCGTCACACAGTGAAGTTCCTTTATACAACATAAGATATTAAACAAAAACATGTTTGCGTTCTGAATGAATGCAGAGTCTAAGCGGCTTGTTATTCTTACATAAGTGAGTTCATGGGAGTACAAATTGACTGGACCTACAAACACTGACAGTAACCCCTTATTATATAACTCATCAATACTGTTTGTGTTCTGCTGGCTGTACTGAGAGTACTAACAGTGATAGGTCGTGATGTTCATTGCAGCGCTGTGAAAAATTGAATAAACTCATCTGTTAAAAAACATTCCCTGGTCAGCCTTAATGGTGATTGGTAACATGTGTAATTAATTTCTTTCTCAGTGAGAGTTCTGGATCAACACTGTGTGTAGCTCTCACAAAGACACATACTTAACACTTATAACACAATTTGCTACTGAAATGGAGCTCAAATGGGAAATAAATAATGTATTAAATATGTTTTCAGATTTGTAACTGATTTTCAAGATTGGCTGTATGTTAAAAACATGTTGGCTGTACAAAACCTAGCTTAGCATAAAGACTGAAAACAAAGGAAACAGTTAGCCTGGCTCTCCCTAAAGTTCAAAATCCAAATAAAGACTGAGATCGTAAGAACATTTGTGTTTCTTAACAACAGTAACTTAATGTGTTTCTTCCGTTTTAATAATGAATTAATTGTTAAAATTTGATTCTCATAGATTTAGATGTATTTAATTTGTCTGTTTATATCTTGAATGTCTTTGACTTTTGGACTATTGCGTCGGTAAAAACAAGTTATTACTTGGGCTGAAGCAGAAGTTAGAACAAAATATGTACTGCTTTTTGACCTAGATTAAATGAAGGAGATTGATATCACTCTCATGTTTGTACATAACATCTAAAGCAACTGACAGTAACCTGTTAGATTAGTTTAGCAATGAGATTGACAAAAGTGGGAAACGACAGAAGGGATTTTGTTACAATTAGACAGGGCCAGGTCGTCTTTTTTCGCATATCTACGCTACTGAGCTGCTGGCTGTTACTTCATATTTTACACATAGATATGAAAGTGTTATTGATGATCTGCCAGAGAGAAAATAGGTGTATCAATGTCAAACTATTTATCAAAATAATAAATAGATTCAGAGAAAAGTAATTGACACAATAATGAAAAAAAGCCCATATTCCATAAATAAAAACAGAAAAAGATTGCAATGTGTTAAGACAACTACTGTTGTATAGTATAGTATACATATTCCACTACATATGGAAGCCTTTAATTTAGGGTAAAGGTGAACCCAGACACAGAGGGTCAGGTGAACGTAATGATATTGTCAGACCGGGTAGTGAGCACACTGTCTCCTGTCCTTCAACAAATACACACACTCTGCCCTTGTGCCGGTCACTGAACCTGCTTCTGTATTGTTGGAGGTTTCCAGCGACCAGCGGTACAATCTGTGTCACTGTGTGAAAGGTAAGCTCACTGTGAAGCACCACGAGGCAAACCTAACCTGAACTCTTTCCTGCAGATGAAACATGGAGTTTTTAATAATACAGAAATGATGGATCTGTTGGTTTTACAGTTATTTCTTTAACAATTCCTGTGATATTAAAACACCCTGATTGTATTGTTATTATGCAGTCATGTTTTGGTGAACAACAAGGACTTGTTTTTCATGGCTGACTAATTTAGGACATAAAACCACTTCCTATTTCAAGAAGAGCGTGTGCCATTTCTTTCATCTAAATGTCACGTGTCGCAGAAAACCTCTCATCTATTTTTTTCATGTATTTTATTTTCCAAAAGCACTCGCCCTTCAATTTCATGCAGCTGTTTCTAGTGTGTGTGTCAAGCACACTGAAGCTCTAAACCAATATCACGTTATTTCATACCAAACAAAGCTGATACACAAAGATCAACAAAAGCATCAGAGCTATTTACAAAAAAATACAATAATGTGATTAGAATAAAACACAACCCAATGACTGACCCACAGTAAAATCTGCCATTAACAGCTTAAAGGTCACCTATTATGCAAAATGCACTTTTTGATGTCTTTTATATAAATACGTGTCCACGGTGCGTAAGGAGACTCACAAAGTGTCCAAAAATACAACCTTCTCTTTTCCTCCTTACCCACATCTCTAAAAACGGGGGTACAACGGAGCTGATCCAGATTTGCTGCGGTCATGACTACGTTACTAAAATGTGGGCTGGCTTTACATTGATCTCCTGGCAACGGTCTGCCCACGACCCTATCGTCCCCTATCACAAATGTCGCCGTATCAGAAACAATGCGCAAGGTGTTTTGGAAGAAATATGGTCTGTGTTTAGATTAGCAACATTTTGCGCTTATAAACAGCACTTTAGTAACAGGGCTGAAATAGAGGGGTATGAGGCAGGGCTAGAATGGGTGATCTGTTTGGCAATTTGAGCAAAACCCTTCAGAGACATGTTTTGTATAGATATGGCCCTATAATATATTCTTAAAATATAGCACAATAGGTGAGCTTTAATGCTTCATGGAAAGTGTCCTACCATGGAGTGACCGACGATGAAGACGGGCAGGCCCGGGTGGCGGGATTTCATCAGGTCAACGTGCTGCAGCGAGTCTCTGATGTATACCTGGAAGTCTTTGACATTCATCCTCTCTCCTTCACTCTGACCATGGCCAACTGTGTGGGGAAGAAGGGAAGAAGAAGAGACTGGTGTGAGGAAAGTTATACATCTGGAGTATATATTAAGAGGTTTTTAATATATCAAAAAAGGCAAAAGGAGGAAAAAAAGACGGGTAATTCCTTGCTTATCCATCATAGCTTCAACACTTATTTCAAAACACAATTTGTCATAGGGAAGAGATACATATATAAAAAAAATTCCAGTAGTTCACTGTATTACATAAACACTGAAATGCCCTGCTCTATCAGTGGGGAGAAGGACGTGCACGACAAATAAGAAGGCAAACAGGGATCATGTGACAAATAAAGTGAGACACTTTATGCACATTAATTAATTCATTATAAAGTCAGCAAAGCGTTCTTTAAATCAAACAATATTTGAATCTTCATTTGATATATTATGTTTTTTTATTATTATATTGTGTCATTTATGGTTATCCTTGTCCTTGTAGTGTGTTCTTTTTTGTGCATGTAAATGGTCTGCAAAGGCTAAAATCCCAAACGTCACTCCAGAGGGAGTTAAGAAGAATGAGGTAATTTAAAGTTGAGAGAACTGGAGGGAAGGCAGGAGTGGGGGAGGAGGGGTGAGAGGAGGGGTGAGAGGAGGAGAGACGGACCAGACCAGACTAAGCCACAGGAGAGAGACATTTGACTGAGAGATGGAGAGGATGGAAAATATCACTATGAATATGCATGTGTGTATGCATACATAGATTGTGTGTGTCTTCTCCTCGGAGGTTTCTGCAGCAGTGGCTGAGGGGTAAGATGAGTTTCCATGGCGACCACTGAACCAATAACACCACTGAGCTCCTAAACATTGTGCAGCTCAGACCATCTCGCTCTGTAATCTCTGTGTGTGTGTGTGTGTGTGTGTGTGTGTGTGTGTGTGTGTGTGTGTGTGTGTGTGTGTGTGTGTGTGTGTGTGTGTGTGTGTGTGCACATGTACACCATGAGGTCTAACGCTAAACACTTTTCTGCTCGTCAATACTGAAGCGTGTAAATCAATGTCCAGTGGCGAGCGATGCAGCACTGCAAACTTCAGATCGATGGAAACCATATCCCCTTCCACTTCAGATCAATGACCCCACACTCTACTGAATACAAATATTCTGTTATTACCCTCCAACACACACAAATAGTCACACATGAGCAGACACACACAGACGTGGCAGAACTGGGATCGCCTGGAACTGTGCAATATGCAAACATCAGGGCTGATATGATGTTTTTTATTTTTACTTGGTGATGAGTTAATTGGATTTCACATATGATTATATAACAAAGGCGCCCCAGGTGACTCATATTATCTGCGGCATGAATTAGATCAATTTTGCACGCTTATTACATTAGAAGGTTGCTGCAGCTTAAGAAAAAGGCACAATTGATTTGTATGGAGAGAAATAGATAATTAAAATGTCTGTTGGAAGCATTTGATGGGGTCTATAGGGGCCTACATTTCATGTGAACACTTACTGTATATCGTATGATAAAATGCGTTCAGCAGATTATGATTATTTTAATTTTTGTTTAATTTATTGATGATTTGTTGTTTAACTGAAACAATATTTAATCTCTAAAATGCAACAAAAGTTATCTTTTTAGCTCATCTTAAAGAAAATCTATAAAACCAAAATATGTTAAGCCATTACTTGCATCATGTAAACATAGAATAACTGGTTCAATAATGTACTACAGTATCTACATGTAGCTGTAAGAAAGTGTCAATACATTTATATTTTTAACTATTACTCTGTTGGAACATATGACCAGAGGCTGATGTATAAACAGACTATACAATATATACTCTTAATAATGCTATTTGATGCTGACACGCTTTTTATTAATGTGATTTTCATGGCGTACTGATTGCTTGGTGTCTGAAATAAACTCAATCAAACACTAAATAAACTACTCTTTTGTCCCAGTAATGGTCTCTAAGCAAGCCACTTTAATCCAATCAAAGCTGTGTGAAAACATTTTTTGCACAAACTAATGAACTCACAAATTGCCAAGCCCTAATCTTATTAACTGTTTATAAGTTTTTTATAATGTAACGAGAGTGGAACATTCCCAGACATCATCAGGCAGGTCCTCTCATTGTTAACTCTGCCTCTGCATAAACATCCACTTTGAGTATTTCACCACTTCTTGATCATAAATTGTTGTAGTCTGCGTGATATGTCCACATTTCTGTATCCACAAGACCAAAATGTTCACTGTGTGACAGCTAAATACAAAGTTAGCTCGTCTGCAGTTGGATTTTGAGTTAATTAATCAGCCACCATGCTCTTTCTGGAGGTTGTTGTCTGGTAAATAGCTACGGTGTGGGACAGATGGAATAAACCTCCAGTACGTGCAGGCTGTGAATAAATAAGACCTCTATAATTAGAAATAAATACATTTGAGACAGAAGAAAGTGTGACAGAAGAACAGGAAGGGAAATGTGTGCTGAACTCTATGAAGGGCTCCCTGAGGCAGTGTGTGTGTGTGTTACTGAGCTATAGATAGATGAAAAACTAGTGTCTCTGCCACTGGGACTTCCAGTTCAGTATTTTTCATTTAACAGTGTGACATTTTACTGCGAGTCACATAACAAACTGCTCCTGTTTGAGCAGGTTCAGTCATCCTCATCACTCACTCTGTTATCTCACCTCTGCCTGCTTTGTATTGAGATGACTACCTCTGTAAATATTTCCACATTTGCAGCAGAGACTTTATTTCTTTATCTTGTCACACTCTGTCTCTCTCTGCTGTTTGCCTGTGGATGACTCCATTCTTCACATGATGTTCTTTTCGCAGGCTGATGAGTTCACATATTTCTGCGGTAACTAGGACCTGTTAACACCTCACATTGAAGATTAAGGCCCCGTCCACACGGAGATGAAAACGAAAACCAACCAAATTCGATATAAAAAAAAGTCTTCCATCCACGCAGAATCGGCACAAGAAACATGTCCGTCCACACGAGACCGCTCGACCAGCTTGAGACGCTGTAGTACATATGCCGGGCCTGTAAGTGGCGCTGTACTTCCGCCACAAAATACACCTCGGGCTCCGAATCCACATTTCTATGTCGGCCTTGTGTGGACAAACCGTCTATACCAGGGGTCGGCAACCTTTTTGATATGAAGTGCCATTAAAAAAAAAATTGTGATCAGTGTGCCGACGATCGTGAGTTGTCAATAATATTGACGACCGTCCGTTCTGTGATTCTCCAGAACACACAGATGGCCAGTCCGCCCCTGTATAGCATATTATTTTCGATGAGAGATGAGCAGATCGCCACTGGGCTTTCAACTAAAGACACAGCCACGCAAAAACTGCGGCATTTGTACAGCTCCTTATGGGTACTGCAATTTGTGAAGTGCCGGCGCTGGAGCAGTGCTTTCCTCCATGTTGAAACGATCAGGAAATCAGGGAAGCGGCAGAAAGTCACCTGGAGTTAAAGAGAGCCGGGCTGCGTTGCGTGCATGGCTTCCTTCTGCAAGTAAAGGGGAGACGCACTCAGACGGCGGTCTCGTACAGGATCCGAAAATAAAATGTAAATATTTTGCACACTTATTCCACTTATTCCTAGTGTGCCACTGGTTACGGTGCCGCGGGCCAATGGCGGCCGACCCCTGGTCTATACGATAGAGAACGTTAACGGACTCAACTGATATCGTCTCCGTGTGGACGGGGCCTTAAAGCCTCTTGGTGGAGTTATAGATCAGCAAAAAGATTGACATTATCTAATTAAAGAAACTCTTAAAATGGGATGACATAATCAGGGGTGTAAAGTGGGATGGCCAACAACTGTCCCCTTTGTTCCCCTTCCTGAGACCAAGCCCATCTTCAAACTCAACCTTCATTTTGAACTTAACAACACATCTGTAAAGTTCAGTGGTGGAATTTTGCACGGTTGTGATACTATTACAGTGACAGAATATGTTGACATATTTAAATGAAACTTTGGAGCAAGGGCTCAAAACACAAGGAGAACACTCGAGCTGATGTCAGACACTAAAGACTTATTGGAAGTTACGGTAGGAGAATTGACGAAGACATTTGCTGTAGTAGCGAAGTGACACAGTCCCACCAATTCTCAAGCCCCCTCACCCAATCCCAAATATTTATCAAGTTCTGGACAAATACTATTCTTAAAGAGAGAAAGTGGCACCCGAGTTCGCATGCCCGAACGCTGACTACGTGAGAAGGGTGCAGCTGCGCAGGATTCATTTCAGAAGTGGGGGGGCCAAAAAGTGCGTGTGTATGTGACATACTTGCCAACCCTCCCGATTTTCGCGGGAGACTCCCGTTTTCCTCTCAGGGTCATATTTATCCCGCATTTCTCACGATTTCTGACTAAATCTGATTTGTGAGTCACGACCTGTTTCATTCTAACTAACGCTCCAAATGTTACTGTGTCCGCTCTTATTTGACAAGCTGAATGTTGACTGGTGTTTGACTGAAGTAAGCGCACTTTTTTTGAACACACTCTCTGTGAAAAGCTCCAGTTATTAACTCCGGTATTTAAAAAGCTGTCATCTCCACATATGGAGAAAGTTACAAGCCGTTTGACAAACGGCTTGTAACTTTCTCCATATGTGGAGATGACAGCTTTTTAAATACCGGAGTTAATAACTGGAGCTTTTCACAGAGAGTGTGTTCAAAAAAAGTNCGGCCTTTTAAAAATCTGCGCCATTTTGCTGATTATGCGGTAAATTCTGCGATCGCAGAATCACGTTTTTCTGGAGGGTCTAGATAAACTTGCAAACATGTCAGAAGAACGGGCGCATAAGAAAACAAAATACAGTCAAACTAAACTGAAATTCAACAAATTGAATGTCACATCCCTGACATCCACAACTCCAGAGCCTGGCCCTTCAACCATAAAACCAGCGCAGCCAGATGAACCCCAAAGCAGCAGCTCTGCGGCCGCAGAAATTGTCAAAACCGCCGGCATCGTTTAACCGAAACAGGCCGGTTCCGACTGCATGGAGGTTTGTTGTCGGGAAATTGTGACGGGCAAATAAAAGCTTATTTGGGCAAAGAGAAAGCTACTTCAAAGCAGAATGGTACAAAAACAGAGAGTGGTTAATTATTTGCAAAATAACTAAACGAG